AAAAACAATACTGTTAAATGAGAAATTAAGTTAAATTTTTCTTCTGAGACAAACTACATAGGCCATCATCTAACCTATTTAAATAAGACTGTGGATTCTCTGCCAGGCTGCTTTCCAGATTGTATCCAGAGACAGAACTTGTGGTGCCTTTATGTAGTTTTATCTCTGTAGAAGTCTCTTTCACTATGTGTTATTTTCTTCATGTGCCTGTCTTTGTCCTGCTTCTCTTTCTGTATTATCTACCTCTTTCTCATTCTTCTCTCTTTTGTCAATCATTCAATACATATTTATGCAAGTGTCAGGCACTGAATTAGGTCTAAGAAATTCAAAGATGAATCTGGCTCAAAATACCCCCTGGCTAAGGTGGGAGGCAAAGCAGACACAAACAGATAATAAACAGATAACAAGATACTGTGGTAGTACAGTGAGGTAGATAATGCACAGGTTATGGTGAGAGCACCAAGAATGACTCAATGCTGGATGGAAGGGATCTCAAAGATTTCCAGGAGGAGATAGAATCTTATGAAATCTAAAGCAGTTCTAAATAGCACTCTCAAACTTTAACATGTATTAAAATCCCCTAGGAATCTGGTGAAAATGCAGTTTCTTAATCACTGTGTCTGAGTAGTAGGACCCGAGATGCTGCATTCTATCAGTTTCCAGGAGATGTCCATGCTGCTAGCCCTCAGACCATCTTAGAGTTGCAAACATCTTAAAGGATGGAAAGGAGTAAGTAAGGGCTTTGCAGAGCGAAAACAGGCAGAATAAACAGCATGAAGTAAACCACAGAGGTAGGAAATACTTGAGTATGTGTGATGAAACTGAAGCACACTGGTGTTGCCAGGCAATTTAAAAGGTCATGAGTGTCTAAAATGTGGGTGAACAGGAATATGACATATCTCGCTTTGTCACACAGGCTGGAGTGCAGTGGTGCGATCTTGGCTTACTGCAACTTCCACCTCCCAGGTTCGCGCAATTCTCCCACCTCAGCCTCCCGAGTAGCTAGGATTATAGGTGCCTACCTCCATGCCCAGCTAAATTTTGTATTTTTAGTAGAGATGGGGGTTTCACTGTGTTGGCCAGGCTGTTCTTGAATTCCTGACTTCAGGTGATCCGCCAGCCTTGGCCTCCCAAAGTGCTGGGATTACAAAAGCGTGAGCCACCTGCCCTGCAGGAGTATAGCATGTCTTAAGGAAAAGGGAAGTTATTATATGGATGACAGAGTATATAAAAAATTAAGTAGGGAAATTATGCGGTAACAACTGCAAATCAAGTAACAAGTCTGGTGGCTTCACTGGTAGAATAATGAACAAGAAGATAGTATACTAGGCTATTTAAATAAACCTGCTAAAGATGAGGAGTAGGACTTAAATTATGGCAGTAGCAACAGATTTAGATGAAAAGAGATTGATCTGAGAAATGTTTAGGAAATAGAATAGGTTGATTGTTTCATCACTTGTTAATTTAAAAATCAGGTGGTTGTTATTTCTTTGCATTTTTTTTGCAGGCCTGATATCTATTCTTAACCTGACACCTAGTAACATGTGATCTAGAACAAATAGGCCACTTACCTTATTTTAGCAGCGGCTTTCATATCTTTAAAAAAAAAAAAAAAGTAAAGATTTGACCCAAATGAACAGTGTCGTTGCTTTAAACCCTAAAATGTATGAGCCTGTGAACTAAATTCATCTCATTGAATTGTAGAGTTATAAAATGTATTCTAGTACTTACTACAATGCCTGGACTTTGTAAAATGAATTCTTAGTACCTACAACAATACCTGTACTCTATATATGTACATATATATATACACACACACAATATATGACAATGTATTGTATAATATATATACAATAGATGACAATAATAGTCATACAATGTGTGTATACATATACAATGTGTGTGTGTGTGTACACATTGTATGACTAATATTGAATCTGCCTAGTTGATAGGTATTAAAACTTGAGACATTTTAAATCCCTTCTCTTCTTTGCCCACCACATTCATTACCAATTCCAGTTGTTTGTTACATATGCCCTACTGGCAATTCTTTGGTTTATGCACTTATTTTTTAACGAGATTCCTGCAATAGCACCTTAAATGTTCTCCCTGGTTCTAATCAAATCCCCTTCCAAACACTCTCTGAGAAACTGAAGAACTCTGGAATCAGAAACACTTGGGCTTGAATGCTAACTTCACTGTTTCTTAACTGTGTGATTGTCAGTAAGTGATTTAACCTCTCTAAACGCTGGTTTCCTTACCTGTAAATTATAGGAATAATAGGAAGATGAACTGTTCATAAAGTACTTACTATTGTGCCTATTACACAGTGAGAACTCAATAAGCGTTAGTTATTATTTTGAAAGACACATCTCAAAAAAATTTGAGCAGGCACTTCACAAAAAAGGAAAAACAAATTACCAAAAAAAAAAAAAAAAAGGAAAGATGCTCTTCTTCATTAGTAATCAGCAAAATGCAAATTAATACTTCTACGAGTACAATTATATATGTAACTGATTAGCAAAATTTAAGAACTTGTAAATCAAGTGTTGTTGAGAATGTAGAGTTTTTTACATAATGCTGCTGGGAATGTAAATTGATGCAACTGATTGGGGAAAATATTTTGGAATTATTTAGTAAAATTAAAGGCGCACATATCCAAAAACTCAGCAGTTCCTTCCCTTGATATTTATCCTAGAAAAGGGTAAATATCAGAATCTATGATAACTAACATATAAACATAAAAATATTAAATTTATATTTATACTAGCATTAAATAAAATAGATTTAATCCAAATGTTCAACAACAGTAGACTAGATAAGTACATTTGGCATAGTAATACAGTAGAATACTATGCAACAATTTACATGAATAAACTCCATGCATTAACATGAAAGAATCTCACAATGTTAGCAAAATAGTCAGGTGATTGAGAGTATATATGCTATAATTCTAAATACACGGAGCTGAAGCATTGTCAAAACTAAGATTTATAGCACAGAGATGCACACATAATTAGAAAACCTGCAAAGAAAAGCAAGGTAATGTGCATGACAAAAGGTAGGATAGTAGTTAGAAGTGGGGAAGGAAAAGTATTTGATCTGAAAGGGACACATAAGGGCTTGCCGGGAGTGTATCATCTAATGTTTGATTTATTTGTTTGATTTGTTTTATGTTGTTTGATTTGTTTACATAATGTTTGGTTTACAATTATTCTTTAACCTCTGTTTTATACACTCTTCTATGTGTATGGTATAAAAAAGAAACTGATTATGTCGATCTCCTACTTAAAATCTTTTAAAAGCTCTTCACTTTGAAACAAATTCCAAGCTCCTTAATTTTATCTAAGAGACCCTTCATGGCACATGTCTTGCATTCCTCTTTAACTTTATCTCTGCCACTACAATTTCTGCTCCAGCATAGTAAACCATACCTAGTATCCCCACACAATCATGCTCTCTCAGGCTTCCGGGTCTGTTAAAAAATGCTCCCACTGTGCACTGCATCCTCCCTTCCCCTGGCTATCCTCTTACTGTGCTTAATAGTCAACTAAAAGATCCCTTCCTCTGGGAACCCTTCCTTGACTAACCTCTACCACATCTGCATTAGAGTCTCCTCTGATGCACTTCCTTTGGCACTCTATACCTACTCATGTAATAGCACTTTATAAATGCCACACTCTGGAACACAACTACCCCATTAATAAGAACATTTTATTATAAGCACTACGCTCTTTAGAATGAGGGCTCCTTTAAAGCAGGGACTACCTTTTATCTACCCCCAAAGCTAAACATGCTACCTATATCATAGATTCTCAATAAGAGTTTGATTAGTGAAGTAATATTCAGAATGAAGAGAGCATAATATGCCTTCTACATCATTGGTAGTAACATATAACATATTATGTTCAACCATATAAAATTGCCCTTATTTTAGATCAAAAATGGTTTGTTATTGGCAATTGTATGTGATTCTTTGTAACACTCATTAAATACATTTTGATTAAGCACAGTATAGTGATGGCTATTAGATCTGTTTTCTAATACAATGGGAGACAGGTTGTTTTTTATGAATTGTTTCATAAAATCACTATATGAAGTAACTCTAGGATTAATTTCAACAGTCTTCTGCAGTTATCGGCTATACATTAATTCACAGGGCAGCCTACCTATCTAGAGTTATAAAAGCCACTAGGCAAATGAAAGAAAGATATTGATCACTAGCTCGAAACAGCTTCTTTTGGAGTCTGATAAGCACCACAGTCAAACTCTAGTTCTCAAATATGTTACTTGACAGATTATAACTCATTCATCTCTGCTGGAATCTATTGATTATTGACTTTGGTGACTCTGAAGCATCAAGTATTTGATTTAAAAAGATATTCTACCTGTGTGTGCTGATATTTTTATAAAATAATAAATTTTTAAAGTTATTCCAACTAGGCAGAGCAACTGGATCTACTTTTAACATTGTTTTGTTAAGCAAAAGGATTCGTAGGCTAAAATGCCCATGAATTGAGTTTTATAAAACTATGATTTCTCTACTCTTATTTCAGAAAAGCTAACTGGGGTGTGTGTGTGTGTGTGTGTGTGTTCCTAAAAGATATTGAAAACCATAATTTAGCTCAGAACCAATTTTTCTACTAAAGATGAATCAGTACAATACAGTACAATGTTGCAAATAATAAAAGTCACTTAAAAATAATGGTACCCAACTGTTACTCTGCCACGTGAAAATGTTAATTGCAGGTATCATCCATGGTGGTAGTATCATGGTATTATATGCTGCACCCATACACTTCAAGACTTTTCACTATTGTATGTGGTATTAGTAGTACCACACTATAAAACATTCTGTTCTATTTATTTTCACTTCTGTATTTGATACTATTTGGAGCAGTATTTCTCCAGATCCATATACCAAACCATCTGCAATATTTAAATTGTTTATGTAGATCACAGTTTTCATGCTAAGGAATATTTTTAAATTTGCAACTCACCACAGCTTGTATGGTTTCTCATCTATAGGAAACAGGTCTAATTCAACAGTTTCTTGCATGAGCTGCCATGGTGAAGATCTGAGATGGGTCTGTAGTTGGTGTTTCCCACACTAGCCTGAAAGCAAAGCCGAAAAACAGATGAGTTTGATTTTAAGATTTAAATGGGAACTTCACCTGTATTTAGAAAACCAAAAAGCTGACATCAAAGACAATTGGTTATTAGGTGGGTGAGTGCAGGCAGAGGAAAGGAAACATCTCAAGGTAGTTCTGTATTCATAATTTACTGCAAGCCCAAGAACTTTGATGTTATCAATACCAGAACAACTAGATATTTTAATATCTGAGCATAAACCAAATAAGTAAGTCCGATTTCAGTTGATATAATTGGTCTTGTGATATGAATATGGTTTTCTGATACAAGGCACCCCACTCATCCTCAACTGGGAGAGCTCCACTGTTGCATACATTTACATATTCTGCTTTTCATATAAGATTTCAGGCCAGGCGCAGTGGTTCAAGCCTGTAATCCCAGCACTTTGGGAGGCAGAGGCAGGTGGATCACGAGGTCAAGAGATCGAGACCAACGTGGTCAACATGGTGAAACCCCGTCTCTACTAAAAATACAAAAAATTAGCTGGGCATGGTGGCGTGTGCCTGTAATCCCAGCTACTCAGGAGGCTGAGGCAGGAGAATTGCCTGAACCCAGGGGGCGGAGGTTGCGGTGAGCCGAGATCACGCCATTGCACTCCAGCCTGGGTAACAAGAGTGAAACTCCATCTCAAAAAAAAAAAAAAAAAGATTTAATTGGAATAATGGTTACATAGGTACAAAAGGAGGATAATTTTGAAAACCTCTGAGGTATGCAAAAGAAAGTAAACCTAAGCTGGAGTTGCTCTGAAAAGACCTGTATTTATGTTCTGCATCATCTGATCTAGTTACAAACCCACTTTTTCACCATTATCACCTGTTCTTCCCACCATTATATGAGACACTATTCTTCAGACTCTGTGGCAGTTTTTAACATGCGACCCATGGTCAAATCATAAGTTTTTATTTCTAGTTTGGAAAATATGGTCATCATACCCAAAATAGGCCTCCTCTTTGCCGCACTAAGAGTCTCTTTCCTGGCCAGGTGCTTACAATTACTTCCAGGACTACTGCCCTCTCACCATCCCACCAGCTCACCCCAGTACCCCTAGTGTGGCCTAATTGTTACCTACCACCACTTCAGACGAGGTGGATTCCTTTGTCCTCTGAATTTCTATTGCACTTATTCTCAAAACACTAATACAGGCCCTTGATCTTATACCATCTTTATTGATATTTAGCCTCACCTCCCCAAATGAGTATAGGTTCCAATTGGCAGAAACTTTGTGTTACAGTTTCCCAATTTTTTCTACCATAGCACTTAGCAGAGAATTCAGTATATGAGAGATATTCATTTAATGAATATTTGGTGTGTCCCTATTGTGTGCCAGACAAAGTCAGTCCCTGATAGGAATTATAACTTAGTAGAGAATACAAGTAATACAAGAATAGGCAATTACTATATGATATAAGTGCTGTGATGGAGCTTCCACCTACAAACACTGAATAAACATTGCCAAATAAACAGACCTAAGAGCTTCTCTTCACTATCAATGCTTTCAGATCCCATTTCCAATGTATAAGAAGACACTTGCTTTAAGCAATCCATTTTCAGAAAACGCACAGGACACCCAGGCAGGTTAACATAGACAAACAGGAGTCAGTTTTATCTCTATGAAGACAAGTCGCTAAGATGAATTTCTAGAACTTTAAAGTCACTGCTGTTTTTGTTTTTGTTTTTCTTCATAAACACACACACACACACACACACACACACACACACACACATGCGCGTGCGTACAGTAGTGAAACTCCTGTTTATTACCGAGCAGGCCACTGCAAATGCCCGATTGCCCTATAGGGTAGCTTTGCCTTAAACCTTCACACCACTCAGGGTTTTAGAGCAGCTGTGGATACGAATGCTTCTCAGGAGACTTTAGTCATTCTTTTTTCCATTGAAAACTACAATTTCCATTCCTACATGCATTATTTCCATAAGCCTTAAGGGTTTTACATCTCATAGTCACCAGAGATAATAACTGTGAGAAAAGCCATAGTGGCTTGTTATGGATCCAAACCATCAAATAAACTAGAAAATTATTTACCAAATACAGTATATGTTTGAGGTCTACATTTTAAACCTAAAATGTTTCTATTTAGTGATTTTCAATATTACCTGACATCGTCTCTTAAGAGTTTCTATCAAGATTCACAATAAGAAATAAAGCTTCTCCCTATTAAATACAGAAAACAAAAGGTATGCAAAACAGTTTTTGTATTTTCCCCTTCTTTGCCTTGATTGGCTCATGAGGATAAAATGTACTCAAACTGAATAATCTTTAGTCAAAACCTTACAACTTCACTATGCAAACATGTACAGTTAGGTGAATTTCTGAAAAGATGGGCTCCAATTCTGTTACGTTTTTTTTAAACAATCAATATGCAGCATAATCTTTTTATCTGAATCAGCAAACAGTGCCTCATCTCAGACTTAATGTAATGCAATAAATACATCCAATATGCCAAAGAAGCAAATGGACCCTGTTCTTCTTTACCAGTAAGCATGTCCCCTACTAGTCTCTAGGCCCAACTTTTTCCACAAGTCCTTGGTCCTCAGAAGAAGATGCAATAATAGATGCATGTGTGGTAAGAGGAAGGCACTCAGCAGTCCTGCAGCAAACAGAGCATTGTACTCCATTCTTATCACTACTGGACACTTCCGTGCCTCTTTTTGTATGATTGCTGAAATGTCCAACCAAAACCTTAAAAGAGATTGTCAGAGGAAATAGAAAGGGCAATGAAGAAAGAATTGAAGACAACAATGTGTTTGCTTTTTATTCTAATTGAAGGAAGTCTCTCTTGTTTTGAGTCCATTATTCTGATAAGCCGCCAAGCAATCATTCAATTTGAACACACCAATTCCACTGAAAGTCCTTTAGCTACAAATGTGACCTGAGGCCAGAATTGGTGAATGAAGGGAGAATATCTATTCCCATATTTAACAAACAAGTAAACACCCACTTTGTCTTTAGCTTTTAGTATCAGCATAAGAAGAATTTATAACTAGGCTTCACCCAAAGAAAGAGATTGATTTACATGAAACCACAATAAAACCTTGTTTATGCCTTTAAACATGGGAGGTTTTCTCAGATTACTTAGGTTGGGCAAATTTGTTTTGCTTATGATATTACTGTATGATATACTAACAAGGAAAATCTTATTAATTTTTCTATAAATTTAAAATACTTACATTTTATAGCATTGACAATAAATTCTCAGTTCATTCTAACCTTAAAATATATAGACCATGTACTATGAAACCACTAAATACTAATAGCTACAGACGTACCAGACAATGACAGCAAAAACACATTCAGTCCCTCTGGGATCTGTTCATAAACATCCCCTTCCAGCATGGCAAACACACTCCTCTCAACAGCAGATGCTGTTCTGAGGCGAGCAGGCAGGAAGCTGGAGGCAGCTGATTTTTCCACTCTACATATAATTTCTTACTGCCTCATTATCCAGAATCTTTTTACTGAAACTGTGAGGATTTTTTAAGAACAGGAGCCCCTCAAATTAAAGACACTTTGCAACAGCAGAGGAATGACATGCAAATGAGAAAGCATGAAGACTCTAATATTTAAGGTCACACCACCTTTGTCATCTGATTTTCTAGTCCCATTGTAGGGGAGAGAAACCCCAGTTGCTCCACATAATAAAATAACCTAATCCAATACTTTATGTCAATTGTAAGAGTGTGATCAAGGAAAAGAAGGGAATACATACCAGAGGCAGCCAAGCTGCTACATCCAAAGCATCCAACCCCTAAAATCCAATGGTTCTGAAGTGAAGTCGGAAGCTTGTGCTACATTTATAGATTTATTTGTTATACATTTATAACATCTATACTGACCTAAAGTAGAAAATTCACAGAAGCTTCTCTGAGAGAACTGGTCCTTACTGCAACCATTTTAAATATGTTGATAAGCATTCTGTGGGATCTTCCAGGGTCCGACAACTAGCAGATTAGGGATAGAGGGAGACATTGGATGTTGTACTGGCAATGCCTGGTGCACTTCTACTCATTTTCTTTCCACCTGAACTGTGGCCTGTCCCATATGACTTAGCCTGCTTCCTTGCAGTTTCTTCATAAAAGTTATCGTCAACATACCAGAAGCAGGCAGGGCTGCTGTATAGACACTGTCAGGCTCTGCACCAAAGGCAGCCCATGTAAACAACCTTGTGATTGCTTCAGAGCCTGCTGCTTGGGATAAGCCATTCTTTTTCTGTGGCTAAATTGCAGTACCCTGGGAAGTTATCTGTTTAAGGGGGTAAAAGCAGAGACTAAGTCTCTAGATTTAAATGTGGGTGGAGGGTGAGAAAAAAATATAGATGGATAATTTTCTTGTAATATCTATAATCTGATTTACTTACAGATTTTCCAGTAAATTACATTTTTTTGTTGAAGGCATAAACACATAGATTCTAATAAATATAACGCCATACTTATTACTGATTTTTTTTTTCAAAAGAGCTCTGACATTTGTAGGGGACACAGTATCCCAGCACAGAATACCTGGGAACCTTGCCATGAAAAAAAAAAAATGCTGCCTGCTATGACTAGGAGATCACTTTCTTAAAGGGACCTCTTTCCTATTTGACTGCAGCGCCAGTGCTTCCTCTTATCTCTAACCTGACCCTGGTTCTGTGTTCCTCTCTCTAGCTCAGATTTAGACTGGAGTTGTTCTGCAAGAGCAATGCCATTAGTCTTACACCTAATATATATAAATACTGCTCCTTAGTAAAATACATCTTAAAATATTTAAGTTATACTTCTCAGGAAGTAAACACAAATTCAAACTAAAAGACATTATTTTAAATGTTTTATAGAACCCATTGTATTTTTCAGATATGGAACTAAGGTCAGCAGTTCTAACAAGCACAGCTTTTTTTTTTTCCTCTCCCTCTCTGTGTGGTCTCTCTCTCTCTTCTCTCTCTCTCTCTCTCTCTCTCTCTCTCTCTCTCTCTCTCTCTCTCTCTCCTTCTGTAGCTCTGCATTGGTCTAAAAACCCCTGGTCACAATAAGAATGCTCCCTCCCTCCCTCTGCTACCCCTCACTCCAAACAGAAAGGTTTCAACACGCCCAAGTCTGGTAAGAGATGTTCTGCACAGAGGGTAAAGCTGGTGGCTTCTTGCCTCAAAGCTACTTCACTTAATTAACCTGCTTTCCCCCCCATTTCTAGCGTCTCTTCCAAACTCCCTCTCCCGCCCCACCAGGAACAATCAATAGACATCACCCCTACCCTCAAAAAACAGGTTAGAACCCAGAACGAGCAAAGAGCCACCTACCATTCCGTGCCTGAGAACTACGATCCTTATCCGGCAGTGTTTGGCCCAGAAATCCTCCCTACTTGTTTTTCATTAACCACATTCCAGACTGTAATAAGGAAGAGATTCTTTGGAGATAGGGAAATTGTTTAAAATTAACGATGGACAGGTGATTTCCAAGAAAACCCAATCTTAAACTCACTCAAGCCCCTAGGAATTGAGGAGTGAGGACAAAAAAGGAAATTTGTAAAAAATGAAAAAAGAAAAGAAAAAGGTAAGCATATAGCAAGCACCACCCACCCCCATAAAAATAAAAAGTGAAGGGGAGGTTAAAGAGAAAAGAAGAAGAGTGGCTTGCTGAATCACCCTCTTTCACTGCCTAGAAACCATTGTGCAGCGTGATGCTGCCTGTACCATTGTGGAACCTACCAGAGGAGACGGACCGAGAGGGCTTGGGGAATGGGGTTGCTATGGCAACTGAAAGGAGCACACATGACGTCAAAGCCCAGAGAGGTCTAGGGAGGGGTATGAGGGGGAAACAGAAAGAGGAAAAGTCTATGCGCAGCTACAGCTACTGTGTTTTCCGGTTAAATGAGGACCAGGCAAATGTAAAGAATAAGGATCGTCAGCAGCCAACATCAGCAACTACATCAAGGCAGCCAGCCTGCACGACCTGAGGAAAAGATCCATTTGACGCAGCTCTGGCCCTTTGCACAGCAGCACCGAGGAACAAATACCAGCAGGGCAAAACACCACTGGAAATGCAGTCAACCTCTGCTTTTCAACTATCTCCTGCAATATCTCTAAACGTCAAACAAGTAAGAGACTGTAATAACCTCAGAGGAGAAGCAGGCATTTGAGTCTCGCCTGAACCCCGAGGTCATTTGCACAGCTCTGTTCCTCTTCTGTTTCCTTGTTTTCCTAAAAAATCCTGAATAAATATCCACTAAACCAAACTCAGCAGACTAATACTTAGGTTGCAATCTGAGTGTACAAAGAAAATACTGATTAATTTGAGTTAACGCATCAGCATTCTTTTTTTTTAATTGCTGATATTTTCTAGAAAACGGATACAAATTGTACTGTTACTATTTGGAACTAATGTCGTAATTTTATTTAAGTAATTTGCTCTGCCTTTAACTGTTATAGGGTATTTTTTAAGTCTCCATACAGTTTTACTATCTACAAATAATACTTTCTTGGAATGACAGCAGTTGACTACTTGCACTATTAAAAAAAAAATTACGTTTACCAAATTTGTTTTACCTGTTTTATGTAAGAAAAATTTTCACTGCAAATTTTGCTTAAACCGTCTCCAGGCTTTGGACTTGTCAAATTACATAATCTAATTCAATTCCTTTTTTGCTTACACTCCTTTGAGGTAGGTTTCTGTTTATTGCTACCAAGTAGTGCTGAGTCGTAAGTGATTCCACGTTATGTTTTAGAACCAGCATACTTACATGAATAAGAAGTTTATTCCATATGTTACCAGTAAGATACAACATGCAACAGATGCAAACTCAGCAGTGACTGTAGACACTGAAACACATCAGAAAACTGTAAGAAACAAATAAGGTTTTGTTGTTTTTGTTGCTGTTGCTGCTGTTGTTTTATTTGGAAAGAAAAATTAGAAAAAGAAAGGTTTGAATTAGTTGTGTGTCATTGTAGTCCACTGGAGAAGTGTTTGGATGTCCCTTTACTCTAATTTCAATTTCAGCAAGAATCAATCAAGACCACCTGCTAGTCTTCTCAATGGGCCTACCTGCAAGATAACTTTCTCATGCAAAAATATGGATTGATAGCCAAACAACTTTATAACACAAAATAATTGGCATTATGGCTTTTGAGGTATTATATACTAAGTTTGGATATCAAAAGTCAATTCCCCAATCCCACAGAAATTAAATCAGTATGTTGAAGAGATGTCTACACTCCCATGTTTATTGCATCACTATTCTAATAGTCATAAAAACGTGTCCATCAACAGATGAATGGATTTTTTAAATTATATATATATATATATATATATATATATATGTGTGTGTGTGTGTGTGTGTGTGTGTATTATGTATATCACACACACACACTGGAATACTATTCAGCCTCATAAAAACAGGAAATTCTGTCATTTGCAACAATATGGATGAACCTAGAGGGCATTATGGTAAGTGAAATAAGCCAGGCACAGTGAGACAAACACCATATAATCTCACTTATATGTGAAATTTTAAAAAGGACAAACTTGTAAAAATAGAAAGTAGAATGGTGGTTACCAGTGGCTGGAGACACAGAGGTGGACAAAGAAAGGGGAGTCATTGGTTAATGGGTACAAAGTTTCTATTAGAAGAGAGAAATAAGCTCTGGTGTTCCATTGCACAGTACAGTAACTATACTTAATAATAATATATTGCCTATTTCAAAATAGCTAAAAGAGAGGATTTCAAATGTTCTCACTAAAAAGAATGACAAATATTTGAGAAGACAGATAGTCTGATTTGATGATTCTACAATGTATATACACGTATCAAAACATCACATTCACCTTATACCCCATATTATATATAATATTGTCAATTAAAAATAAAACAATTTTTAAAAAGGCAATGCCAAGTAATATAACATCAACGAGGAAAAAATGAACTTCATCTTTTACCTTACATTGTAAACATAAATATTTATTCAAGATGAATTGCACACCTCAACATAAAAGCTAAAATATATAAAGTTATTAAAATATCTTTTTTAAAGATGGCTTTCTGAACTTGCAGTGGGCAAAGATTTCTTAAGATACAGAAAACACTTACCATAATAGAAAAAAAGAAACTTCATCAAAATTAAAAGTTTCTATTTATCCTAAGTCACCATTAAGAAAATGAATAGACAAGTCACAGTTTAGATGATACATATATCTGAATACTTTTGATAGCTGGAAATATTAATGGTACATACAAATCCTAGATTATATAAAACATTTCCTACAATTCAATAATAAACACAAACAAACAATTGTGTTTAATGGGCAAAAGACTAGAAAAGGCATTTGACAAAGGAAAATTTGTAAGTGGCCAATAAACATATGAAAAAGTATTCTATACCATTAGTCAGCAGAAATATACAAATTAAAACCAAAATGAGATACCATTTCATGCCCACAAAAATGACTACAATTAAAATGACTAGCATCTCCAAATATTGACAAGGATACAGAAAAACCAGAATGCTCCTACATTATTGGTAGAAGTATAAAATGATAAAACTACACTGGAAAATGGTTTGGTCGTTTTTATAATTATAAACCTACACCTAAAGTATGACTCAACACTTTTATTTACAGGGAGTCATCCAAGACAATGGAAACTTACGTCCACCAAAAAAAGCTGAACATAAATGTTTATGCCAGCTTTGCTTATAATTAGCAAAAACTGGAACAACTCAAAAGTATATCAACAAGACAGCAGATAATTATGATGTGCAGTCAGCCCTCCATATTCACAGGTTCCACATCTGTGGATTCAAAAACTAAAGATCAAAAATCTCAGGAGGGTAAAATAAAAAATAACACTACAGCAATTAAAAGAAAAGAAGCACACTATAACAACTACTTATATAGCATTTACTTTGTACTCAGTATTATAAGTAATTTAGAGATTATTTAAAACAATAGGAGGATGGAACACTATGACATTTTATGTAAGAGACTTGAGCATCCACTGATTTTGGTATGGAGGGGTTGTTCCTGGAACTAATCCCCCTGAGAGTACTGCTGGATGACTGTATTTGCCTAATAGACTATTACTCAGCATTAAAAAGTAATGGCAACGAGGAACAGGTTAAAACCAATCATTTTCATCCATTAGGTATTAGTTTCTTTTTTAAGCTTTCTGAAAATTTATTTATTTTTATTAATGTTACTTGTATTCACAATCATAATCATATATATTTATGGAGTATGTTGTGCTATTTTGATATATGTATACAATGTGGAGTAAATAAATCAAGTTAATTAACATAACTGTCACCTCACTTATTTTTGTGGTAAGATATTTGAAATTTACTCTCTTAGTTATTCTAAGATATACAGTACATTATTATTAACTATAGTCATTCTGCTGTGCAACAGATCTCAAAATTTATTCCTCCTGCCTTACTGAAATTTTAGTTAACTAAAACTTTGGTTAACTAAAACTCTCTTTTTTTTGTTTGAGACAGGGTCTCACTTTGTTGCCCAGGCTGTAGTGCAGTGGTGCAACCACAGCTCACTGCAGCTTTGACCTTCTGGGACCAAGAGTTCCTCCTGCCTCAGCCTCATGAGTCGCTGGGACTACAGGTCCCTGCCACTCCACCTGGCTAATTTTTTTTTTTTTTTTTTTTTTTTTTTTTAAGTAGAGATGAGGTCTAAGTATGATCTTGAATTCCTGAACTCATGTGAACCTCTTGCCTTGGCCTTCCAAAGTGCTGGGATTATACGTGTGAGCCACTTCACCAGGCCTGAAACTTTTTTGTTGTTGTTGTTTGGGGTTTTTTCAGATAGGATCTCACTCTGTCACCCAGGCTGGAGTGCAGTGGTGCAATCTCGGCTCACTGCAGCCTTAACCTCCCAGGCTCAAGAGGTTTTCCCACCTTAGCGTCCTGCATAGCTAGGACCACAAGCATGCATCACCACACCCAGAAATTACAGGCATGAGCCACTCACTGTTCCAGGTCCACTGAAACTCTTTTCGAAGTATTTTCCAAAGATATTGATTCTTGGCATTAGTTACAGAATGATAGATTCCAACCTTGCACATATATTTTGGGGTGGATCTTACTAAAGAGGGTTTTAATTCTCAACAAACTCATCTCAATTATATTTACATTATTAAAATAATATTTTAAGTCTATTCTATACACTTCAGGAAATCACTTTTCTAAAATTTGATTATGCAATACAAGTTAGTTTCTTTAAAAATCAATATCTGAATAGTTCCATTTCTGATTGGATAAAGCCAAAACTCTTGGTCAGGTGTGGTGGCTCACACCTGTAATCCCAGCACTTTGGGAGGCTGAGGAGGGAGGATCATTTGAGGTCAAGATTTCGAGACCAGCCTGGCCAACATGTCAAAACCCCATCTCTACTAAAAATACAAAAATTAGCCGGGCGTGGTGGCACATGTCTGTAGTCCCAGCTACCTGGGAGGCTGAGGCAGGAGAATTGCCTGAACCCAGGAGGTGGAGGTTGCAATGAGCCAAGATGACACCATTGTACTTCAGCCTGGGCAAGAGAGCAAGACTCCATTTCAAAAAATAAAAATAAAAAACTCACCTTGCACTCAACTGTGACTTAATCATTTTTATTTCTCATTATCTTCCCTGAACGTTCCCTTTCCCATGTAGAGCATATCATGTTATACATGATAGGTGATCAGTAAACATTTATGGTTAATTATAATTATCTGCAGTTTACAATTCTTTTTTACAATTATCAAAACTATTTCAAATATTATTATGGAATGTTACATTGTGATATATCCAATATTAAAGAAGGTAACCTCTGTTACAGTATTACATATTTGAACTTCGTATTGAAGTCTAAAAACACTTTAACTG